GGGAGAGGGATAGGGAGAGGGAGAGGGAGAAGGGATTGACATGTGAAACAAGCTTGTTCCTAATTTGAACTAATAAAAGAAAAAAAAGAAGAATAATTATTCGCCTGGCGGTGGTGGCGCATGCCTTTAGTCCCAGCACTTGGGAGGCAGAGGCAGGCAGATCTCTGTGAGTTGGAAGCCGGCCTGGTCTACAAGGGCTAGTTCCAGGACAGCCTCCAAAGCCACAGAGAAACCCTGTCTCGAAAAAAAAAAAAACCAAAAGTTATTCAAGTAAGATTGGGCGTGTTCAGGGTAATGTGGTCACAGTCAAGAATAGTTTTCTAAATTAAGATGGCTAAGAGTTTTGGTTTTAGATTTTTTTTATGTCAATTCTAGGGATTTGAACTCTTGTAGGCTATTTTAAAGAAATGATAAGATTCCTCATTTTCTAATTGAGAAACCAATGGATTCTGCTCACTGAATTAAAATGCATGCAGAGATCAGTAAGATGGCTATCGATAAAGGTGCTTACTTCCAAGATGAATGGAGTTCTCCTGCTGGGACTCACAAGGCAGGAGGAGAGACTTGGCTTCCATGAATTGTTCCCTGACCACCACATGGGCTCAGGCCTTACAGGAATGCATGCACGCATGCACTCACACATGTGTACAGGCACACACACATACACATGCATATACACACACAATTTTAAAAGGCACTCAGACTTTCATCCTACTGGAAAACTAAGAAAATGAAGTTGGGCTTGGGAATTAGCTCCATGCTAGAGTATTGACAGGCAGGCATCAAGCTCTGGGTTTGATTCCTTTCATGACAAGAAAATAACCAATTCAATTTCAATGTTATGTACTGATAAGAAAAAAGTTCCTGCCTGGCTCATGCCTTTAATCTCAGTATTCAGGACGTAGAGGCAGATGGATCTCTGTGAGTTCGAGGCCAGCCTGGTCTATATAGTGAGTTCCAGGCCAGCCAGGGCTAAAAGGCAAAAAAAAAAAAAAAAAAAAAAAAAAAAAAGAGAAAGAAAAGAAAAAAATGTTCTTACAGAGACCTTTGAAATAGCAACACCTAACATTTTGTATTGCTTGTCTTTATTATTCCTCATTTCAGGGCCAATACAGATGTGTTGCAGAAGCCATTGTAGGGGATAATGAAGAAAAGTTATTTTGTTTGAATTTTACCATCATTCACCACCCTAATGTCAATTAGAATAAATTAAGAATATATGTTTTTATTTTTGAAAAACGGTGTTCTGTTTTTCTTTTAAAAACTTTCACCTTTGTTCTTTATTTTAGTGTGTGTGTGTGTGTGTGTGTGTGTCCCTGATTGGCCTGGAACTCACTATGTAAAGCAGGCTCAGATCTGATTGCTTCTGTCTTCTGTCTCCCAAGTGAATTAAAGGTGTGTATTCTGATGCCAACTGCTGCTGCTGCTCCTCCTTCTGCTCCTCCTGTTTCTTCTGCTCCTCTTGCCCCTGCTCCTTCCTGTTCCCCTTGCTCCCCTCCTCCTGTTGCTCCTCCTTGTGCTTCTCCCACTCCTCGTCCTGCTCCTCGTCCTCCTTTTTCTTTTTTCTGAGTCAGGTTCTAAGTGTGCAGTGCATGATGGCCTTAAATTCCTTATATTTCTGCTTTAGCCTCTTGGGTGCTAAGATTACAAATCAGAAAATATTGCATGTATCTTAAAGAGCTTAGTGTCTATTTTAAGCACGTATTGGGAAATATAAAGATACCAGATTTAACACTGGGGAAGTTTTTATACTTATGGATCCCTAGAAACAGGTGACATAATATATCACACCCAGGAGATTTGAGGAGAAGAGAAAAATGTGGGCAAGAACATTTATTTTGTCTTCCGAGAAAAGGAATGGAAGGCTGGGTAAGGAGGCTTTCCACTTACTAGTCTTAATAATTTCAACAGGCTCGGAGGCTCTCCCTAGTTGTCTAGCCCTTGGCCTGCAGTGATTAAGGGGTAAATAGTGTTGTAGAGTGTGAGATCCCTGTGGATGAGGTGATGGCTGTGGACTGGCTGGTTTGCATAAGAAAGCCAAGTTCACCAATGAGCCATTCACTGTCCCTAAGAAAAAGCTGGGTTGCATAAGAAAGCCAAGTTCACCAATGAGCCATTCACTGTCCCTAAGAATTAGTGGATCCTGGAAGGGATGTTTCAGGGTCAGCAAGACACCCCTCCCCCATGCAGTCACCATAGCTGGCTTTGGATGGGAATATCAACAGTTGGAGGGACAGCTCCCCTAGTCTTCATAGTTCAGGAGCTTACTGGCTGGATTTTTCAACCCAGAGGCTTTGAGAACTAGAGGTTTTTGGCATACACAGGCAAAACATCCATAAGCATAAAATTAAACAGAAAACAACTAGAGGCTTTCAAGGCCAGAGACCTTTAGCATAAATTAGTGGAGTCAGAGGTTTATTGCATTTGGCCTGGGATGCTGTGTGCCCAGCAGCCAGCAGCTAGTATGACAGCCCCAGAGCTTTGGTTGTCAGGGCTACTTAAGGCTAGCACTCGCTTAGCTTTTGATAACCTCTCACCTCCCATAGTCATGCTCTCTGCTGTGCCTGTGCAAACTCAAACTCATTACTTAGTTCCTCCCACTTTCTCATGGATGCTCTAAAGAGCTCTTGACTGCTGAAGCTGAATGGGTCTGGGGCTAAAATGTCTTAGGATCTTTTGTGCTCCTGGCACGAACCAGCTTAGCCCACTGTCTTAGGGTTCCTATTGCTGTGAAGAGACATCCTGACCATGGAAACTTACAAATGAAAACATTTAATTGAGGTGGCAGCTTTCAGTTCAGAACTTCAAACCATTATTATCATGGTGGGGAGCATGGCAGCATACAGGCAGACATGGTGCTGGTGAAGTATCTGAGAATCCTACATCTTCCAGGCAACAGGAAATTGACTGACAATCACACTGAGCAATGCTTGAACAAAAGAGACCTCAAAGCCACCCCCACAGTGACACACTTTCTCCAACAAGGCCAAACCTCCTAATAGTGCCACTCTCTATGAGACTATGGCGGTCAGTCACATTCAGACTAGCACATCATATATTCATTATGTTGGTTGTATTCCTCTAGAGAATACTGACTAGTACATCTAGGAGGCCTGACAATTTGAGTTTGATCTCTGGACCGAACATAAAAAATGGAATGTGAAGGTCCCAATCAGAAGCAGAGAGATCTTGCCCCAAAAGATTAAAGGACAGAACTGACTTGTGAAAGTTGTCTTCTGACCTCTGTCCCTCCCTCCAAATAATAAAATAAAGGAAAACCGAAAGAGCATGTAGGAGGTGGTACACAGGAGGGTAGTCTCCCAGATCAGCCAGAAGAAATTTATATAGACCACTTATGCAACGAAGAAAAAGAGTATGGCATGACTGTGCACAGCATCACACCTTTGCATGTGCATGGCTTCTAGGTCTAACAGTTGCAAGTCTTACATGTGCACAGAATCATGAGCCTCCCATATACATCCCATGTGTGGGCAGCCTTCTTCCTGTCAGTCAGATTTTCATTGAGTCACTAGAGGAAGTGCTTTTCCCTATCAAGGTGGGGCAGTTGCTACATGGTCATCAGTGATCATTTATCTGGAGGTTACTAATACTTATCTCTAGTGAAGTGAAGTTTTGTATGTCAGATATAAGCTGTGGACTGTGGTTATGACTGAAGCGAAGCAGTAGTGTTCACAGCTGGATTGGAATTTCCTTGGGACATGTGTAAATTATTCAGAGCAGCTAGATGCTCATGATGACAATGTGGTTGGTTTCCAAAGAAGGGGCTGCTTGATTAATTGCTTCCTGTGCAAGGGAAGGGAGGGTTTATCAGTTGTCTGTCAAAGGCTGCACAGCCACAAGAGCTAAGCTGTGACAGCTTCCATCAATTTAAAAAGGAAAACGTGAAATGGGGATTACAATGAAAGCCTACCCCAGAACTCACACTGTCTACAGTTCTTAGCAATGCTCACCCCCTAGTTATTCTTTAGGACCCATGGGGCCCAGCTGAATGTCTCAGTGTCAAAGCAACAGAAATACACTTAAAAAAAGGACATGGTTTCTGGATGATGGTGGCACACACCTTTTATCCCAGCACTCAGGAGGCAGAGGCAAGTGGATCTCTGTGAGTTTGAGGCCAGCCTGGTCTACAGAGTGAATTCCAGGACAGTCAGGGCTACCCAGAGAAACAAAATAACTTTGTTTTCAAACAAACAAAATAAAACAAAAAACAAAAACAACCAAAAACAAAACAAAACAAAACCAGGACATGATACTCTTCAATTTTTTTTTGCATTAATAGAGGAACTTTTCAAATTTATTAATATTTTCTATTTTCTTCCGTTACTTTGGGACAGATCTATACTGCTTCCCGCTTGTACTTCTCTGGAGACCTCCCAGGCTGAACTTCTTAGAACTGTGTAGGTACTTCTCAAGCTTTTCTCCACAAAGCTCTGGTTTGCTGTTGAAATGCAAACCCAAAAAAGGGAAATAGCAAAAAGAAAGGGGCCCTCCTTGTGACTTCCCATTCTTCTTTTAGGAAGGGTGTCATCTGCAGGAATGCCTACCAGCTCCGCCTACCTTTTCCCTTCTCCATCTCTCACTCTTGTCTCACTCTCTGCTCTAGATGTCTCTCTCCCTCTCTTCAGGACCTTTGCATATTGTGCTGGCTAGTTTTCTGTCAACTTGACACAAGCTAAAGTCATCTGAGAGGAGGGAACCTCAATTAAGAAAAATGCCTCCATAAGATCTGGCTGTAGGGTATTTTCTTAATTAGCAATTGATGAGAAGACCTAGTGCATTGTGAGTGGGGTTACCTCTGGGCTGGTAGTCTTGGGTTCTATAAGAAATCAAGCTGAGCAAGCTATGAAGTGCAAACCAGTAAGCAGCTCTCCTCCATGGCTCTGTATCAGCTCCTGCCTCCAGGTTCCTGCTCTGATGGAGTTCATGCTCTGAATTCCTTTGATGATGAACTGTGATATGGAAGCATAAGTTGAATAAACCCTTTCCTCCCCAACTTGCTCTTGGTTATGGTGTTTTATCATAGCAATAGTAACCCTAGCTAAGACTAGTTGGTACCAGGAGTGGGGTATTGCTATAACAGACCTGATCATGTTTTGAGGAGGACTGCTGAAGGACTTTGAAACTTTGGGCTAGAAGAGCCATTGAGTGTTGAGAGTTCATTGTATTGTTTTGTCTGAGCCTTGAAGATTAGAATGTTGAGTTCAGGTGATGGAAGCCTGAGCTGTGAAGTTTCAGAGGGAAACAAAGACTCTACTGGGCCATTTGAATGAAGAATCTGTGGTGTCTGGTCAGGTGGGGCTGAAGAGTCAGCTGTGATTAAGAAGAGACTGGCTACATTGAAATTAAACCTTTGGCTTATTGGGACAATTGATGCTGGTCAGGTGGAGCAGAAACTGGTGGTGATTAAGAGGAGACCAACATCGCTGAGCTGAAATTTTCTGAGAACTGTTTCCTAAAGGAACGCAGAAGCTTTGTTTCAGAGGTGGCCAAGGTTGTACCTCATGCTGACAGCAGAATTTGGTAGTGTAAGAGTCACCCACATGGTATTGGTTTTAGAAGCATGAAGGGGTTATGGAAAGCAGTTGAGACTTAGCACTTTGAGAGAACAGGAGAAGCCATTGGTGACAGTACAGCCTTAATGGCAGTTGAAGACCCAGGATTGAAGGGGTTGTGCAGAGAGTTTGAGGTTTGACATCATGAAGAGAGCCTGTGAAAGGCTATTGGTAAAAGTGCAGCCCAGTTGCAGCAGAAGAGCCCAGCATTTTAAAGATGCCAGGACCATGGGACGACTACCAAGAACAGCAGCAGCAGTGGAGTGGAGCCAGCTAGAGCCCAAAAGACAAGCTGTGTGTGTTGCAGAGGGTGGAACCAGAGAAGTGATCCAAGCCTCTTGGAGGAGCCCAGAAGATCATGAGTGATTCTTAGATAACTGAACATTGAGTTATTTACAGTGTTGGAGTTTGGTTTTGCTTGGTTCAGATTGCAACTGTGCTTTGGTTCTACCCTCTTGAAGAAGGTATTTAACTTAATTTTTATTTTTTGCAGGAGTCTACAGTTGAGACTTTGAACTTTTAAAAGAGATTTTGGATATTTTAACGAGACTGATAAAATGTGTTTGAATTTGTAAAAGATGGTGGGATGGTGGGATGGTGGGATGATTCACTTTTTTTTTTTTTTTTTTTTTTTTTTTTTTTTTTCTGTAGACCAGGCTGGTCTCA